CAGACAAATCAAGTAATCACACAAACATAAGTATAAATCATGATGAACACCAGAAGAAAAACTTAAAAGGTACTGTAAGAACATATAGGAGACCTGACTTGCTTTGTCTCTCTGTGAAGGCTTCTCTGAGGAAATGACAGTTGAACTGACATCTGAAGGGAGAGTGTCAGTTAACTACATAAAGAATGAAAGCAAAACAATTCAAAGAAGCTGCAAAGGCATGTGCAAAGGTCCTGAGGTGGGAGGAAGGGAAAGAAAGGCCAGTTGTGAGGGAATACACAAAGCAAAGCAGCACACAAGGTGAGATGCAGGTAGGGTCTTGTATGCCCTGTTAAGAGTCTGTGTCTTTACCTACTGAAAGGTTTTTAGAACGGAGTGACATGACAAAGTGTGAATTTTTAGATGTCACTCTGGTTGGCATATGAAATGGATTGGAGAGTGGCAAATAGATGGCAGGATACCAATGTAAAGTCCTTTGCATTAGTAGAGATAGGAATTTCTGCTCAGTGCCAAACTGGCATCTAAAAGTTGGATGGCACACTACTGATATTCTGAATCTCTTAGTTATAACATTTAATTTAAAAAAGAAACTAGACTCTAGTCTAGCAGAAAAAAATTTAAGTTGGCTCATGGTTCATGATTTACAACACCATTTAAAATATACCTCCAAGCTAAATAATCTCAACTATATCAAAAGAATAGGCCGGGCCGGCCCCGTGGCTTAGCGGTTAAGTGTGCGCGCTCCGCTGCTGGCGGCCCGGGTTTGGATCCCAGGCGTGCACCGACGCACCGCTTCTCCGGCCATGCTGAGGCTGCGTCCCACATGCAGCAACTAGAAGGATGTGCAGCTATGACATACAACTATCTACTGGGGCTTTGGGGGAAAAAAATAAATAAATAAAAAAAATTAAAAAAAAAAAGAATAGGCCTATGACCCTCAAATAATTTCAACGGTTGGGCTTCAAGGAATCCATGAAGCTCCTGAAATTCCATGAAAATTGTGTGTGCTTATGCTTATATGTTTTTCTAGGGAGAGAGTCCATAAATTTGATCACATTGATGACCTCCAAGTGGTTAAGAACCACTGGTTTACATTATCACATGACCAACCCATAGTTACTCCATTACCAGAATGCTGTCTTGGGTAATATGTCTTGAATTAATGGAAGAGGTTAACTGACTGCCAAAGGTTTGAGCTCCTCTTCCTAAGTGAAAAGTGGTTGCTGGGAAGTGGCTGCCCAGCCAGAGACTATATTTCCCAGTCTCCTTGCATCTAATGGGGAGGGGACATGTGACTACCTCTGACCAATAGAATGTATGTAGACATTTTGATTGGTGCTCGTGTGTAAAGTTGGGTATGTATCTGATATACTTTTTCTGTAATTTTTCCACCTTCTCTAGTGACCTTGGAGGCCATGTTTTGAAACTGGCAGCATTACAAGATGGAAGAATCCTTGATTACTGAATCATGGAGGCAGTCAGGAGAGCTGTCCAACTATGAACACCTGCATTGGATTTTGGTGATTAAGAAATTTTTATTATCTTACGCAATTGAAATTTAGGATTATTTGTTACGGCAATTAATTTGCTCTGGCTTACAAAAAGAACATCTCACACAGGAAGATACAACAAAATGGGTGTGTTGGCTGGGGGAAAATCCTCTTTGGATTTCTTTCTGGAACAAAGAAACAATGCTGTCTTGCAAACCATAATTTCTTGGTGGTGTTTTGCAATGTGTAAATTACTCTGAGCTCAAATTTCTCACAAATCCAGTCCTTGGTTGCATGACAGGATGATTACCATAGATAGCTAATGTGAATGACTTTTAACCACATGAGAACAAATTTAATAAGGTAAAAGAGAGACGTGTTTTAAGTGGGTAGAGATACTCATTTATTTGTTCATTTATTTGACAAATATTTGTTTATTGAATTTCTTTAATGTGTTTTAACAAGTACCTGGAATTTTGTTTTAATCAGGTATGGTAAGATAACAGAGACAACTGTTTTTGGAAAAAGAGGTTTTTGCATACAGTTCCCAAGAAGATGGACACACCAAGCCATGCAGGGCCACATGGGGAAGCACCAGGGTTGGTAAGGAGGCAGAAGGAGTGAAGAGAAAACAAGGCCAACAGCCTTTATTTTGGTTTTCATGGGAAGGAACGGGCAAGGCAGGGTAAGCAGCTGAACAGGTTTAGGATTGGATAGTTTGAATAATTTTGGCAGGGTCTGGGGTGAAGGAGGGCAGGGGAATAGTGTGCCTAACTGCAGGTGCCTGATAAAAGGAGGTGGGTGGGAGTATAGATTCAGGATGGGTTGGTTTGCATATGAAAGATGTGCTTACAGGCGAATTGTTCAGTACCTCTAGGAGGGACAGTTTCTTCTCAGTCCACAGGGCCACAAGATGTCAACGCATCATAAAATATACAAAATAAAAAACATGATTACTACATAATACAGTAGACATATTTAAAAAAATTAGGCACCAGGGTCTATGTAAATCAAATTAACTAAATAACTACAAGGACACAGATGTACTAACATTCAGTAGATACAGTTAACATCTCATTACTCCACACCATGGAAGTCATTTTGATCACTGCACGTTTCTACCAAGATTACTCACTTCAATATATACATCAAGTTCTTCAAGTTCTTCAAAATAAAGTCGTGGGTATTTCAAATTATTAAAATGAGGTTCTTGCAGAATTGTCTAAGTACTTCAGGGTTTAAATTAGAGTTTATATTAAAACATGAAGCTGAAAAGAGATGCAGTCTACATTAGTTCTGGAAGATAAATGGAATCCCCCTTAATAAACATCTTTAGTTCCCCTCCTCCTCCAGAACAACATTTTAAAATACAGTCTAATGCCTAAAACTTTTCAGGGGCTGCCCATTGCTTATTGCCAGCATTTTCAAACCTCAGTCATTTATAGACCACCTTCTCAATTTTTGCTATATCTGAGTAACACCTTTTTTGCATTTTCCTAATTTTTTCTACAGATCAACTCACTATGGTGCTATGTTAGCTTCATCTTAAGCAATTTTTGTATCTGTATAATTTTGGATTTAACATGCTAAATACAAATTTTTTCCTAACTTGTATAAAAATAAATACATAACTACTAAAAATCTTTAAAATGGCATCAAATATGCCACCCTGTGCAAAATCCCAACTGGGAGGATGGTGTTCAGTCCACTGAGCATATTTTTCAAGGCTCCTCATCAGGTAGCCCCTGACTCCCTCTTTTCTACCATCCTCTTCAGTTGTCCTGGCATCAGTCATGATGACTGACCTTAAGCCCCTGACTATGCTATGCTCTTTCCTGCTTCCATACCTATCTGAATAGGTTCTGTGCCTTTAACGCTGCCTTCCCCCACCTTAGATGGGCCCCTAAACTGCCTCTAAAAATCCCCTGTAGCTCTGTGCAAGGGCTTCTCTCCAGGCTCTCCCTCCAACTCACAGCCCCAAACTTGTGTTACCTCCAGTTCCTGCTTCTGGACTGCTGGTTTTGGCCTTTCTACTTTGTCCTGTTAGGATGGTATCATTGGGTATCATTTTCCACTAGGTTTAAGTTTACCTTCATTCCTGAATGCTGCCCTTGGGGACTCCTTCAAACTCTGACCCCCTGGGCCAATCCTGTCTCATTCCACTCAAATTTTCATCCTAGGTTCCTAGAACCCCAATTGGAGTACCACATTGCAGACTTCCCATTTACCCGAGGGGAAAACAAGGCTTTTCCAGGGCTAGTCCCTTTGCCTGAAATGCTCTTCTTCTCCTTGGTCTTCTGGTATGCTCCTCTTAAGCTGAAAAAACTCAGTTCCAATATCACTACTTCCTGGAAGCCTTCCTTGCCCTTCCTAGGCAGAGTTACATTTTTCTTGTTCTGTTGTCTCAGAGAACTTACTGTAATTGCTGTATTTATTCATCCAATATCTGTCTTTCTGGCTTGTTTGGAGAGCTACAAGACTGGGCATATACTTTAGTTATCTTTCTTTCCCCAGCACTTAACACAATGCATAGTACATAGCGCTTAAATGATGTTTACTGAATGCATGAATAAATTAATAAACTGGAAATGTATTAATATATACCTTGGAATAGAGTTTTGAAATTTAGTTCCTGGATACGATACAAGAATGGGAAGACAATGGGAAATGTTCCTACAATAAAATAATGTGAAGAATAATTATCATTGAGTTTCCCTCCAATCCCTGACTCCCCATGCTCCCTCCCTCCACTCCCCACCCCCCTATTCCCCACTCCTGGGCATAAGAGACCCATGGGATAGCGAGAACTTTTACTTACAAGATGGAGCAGGAAGTGGCCTGTGACCCAGGGGTGAAAGGTCACGTTCACGCCCAATCCCCAGAGATCCACTAAACGAAGTCCTGTGAAGAATTTTGTTAGGGCTAAACACTAGGCAAAACACTGGATATTTACACAGTACATTTTTCCCTCGTTGAAGCTGAAGAAAAAAAAGTGAAAAGAGGAGGAAAAGCCAAAATTAAATAAGCCAGCTGGTTTAACTTCTCTTTTTACATATTTTCCACTGCAATCCTCTCTTAGTCATAGAGTCTTTCTCAACCACTTTACTGCTTTTCATTTGGTTGAATTTTCTCAGTTTTTTTTACATTAAAAAAAATACAGACTGAAAGGTTGAGTAGATTGTGACTTTATTCTCTGTTTCTCTTCTACCCTTCCCTCTTCCACTGACACACACACACACACACACACACTCATGCTTACTATCCAACTGTGTTTGGTTAAAACCAGTTTCTGACAACAGCTACCCAGAAACGGGATCTCTGCTCTTTTTTGAGAAACAAAGCCCATCTTTCTTGAGTTGCAAAAAATATTCGATGTTACTCCCCACTCCCCCTGCCTGCCAGTGTCACACACTCCATTTCCCCGTCTCCTTGCAGGCAGGGCTTCCGAAGAAACAAGAACAGCTGCTGAGCAACAATAGTTCCTTACGGAGCCAGTCAATAGACAAGGCCTAATTTTCTTGACCTTTCCCCCCACTGCTCCCTCCTCAGAGCGAGTGTTTTGATTCTGGGCTGTTGGGGGAAGGGAAGGAGGAGAAGAGAGGCTCCTTTTTCACTTTGTCTTTCTCTGTCCTTAAAAATAAAAGAGAGAAGTGTTCATTGGGAAATTTTGCTTAGTAATTTTGTTCCCAGTCTTAAAAAACAACCAAAAAAATACGTTGTGTCATGTGTGTGTGTGCGTGTGTGCATGTGTGGACGTGTTTAGCAATTCCATCTGAAGAGGAGTCGCTCCATAAAAGAGGCCACTCTTTGTTTCGGGGGCCGAGTGATTTGCTCGGTGAAGGAGAACCTCACTGGTGTCGTTCCAGCAGGCCACTGCACTTGGACAAGCCCACCAGTGAGGGAGGCTTTGGACATTTGCAGCAGTTCGGCATTTCCAAGTGGGTAAAAGTTAATGTTAACTCCTTTAAAGAATCAAGCAGGAATCCATATGTTCTGTTCGGCTCTCAGACAAGGACCACCCAATAACACCTCTCACCATGGGATAACGAGGCATTCATTTCTACAAACTCTTCTTACCAGGTTGGGAGCATCTTATCTGCCTGGAGCTCCAGCGTAACCCTGGCTTGGCGGCTGCAAACTGCATTCTGGAAACGCCGGTCACCCCCATCCATTGCCATACCAGCTTCCCACGGAGCAGCCTGACGCAGTGGATCCTTTCTTTTTTGAAAAAGTCAGCGAGTGAGAAGTAAATCAAAGCTTTGAGCCTTGCCTGCTAGGCTGCCCATGTGTATGGAGCTCAAAGGACCTGCTTCTCTCCCTCTCCCCCTCACTAACAAAAGAGCCACTAATCCTGATTCCCTTACACATGAACGAAGTGTGAAACCAGCCTAGGGACTGGAAACAAAATGAGTGCTGTGGGAGCAGCTGGCACATTCATGCCCCCAAAAGCACTAGCTGGCACGTCACCCTGAAACCCAATCACTCTGTCTCTGTGGGGGCTGGGGAGGGATTTAGTTTTGCTACAACACAATGAAGTATATTTTTAACAAATAAACACAATTTTGGCAGAGCGTAGGCATCTTTAGCCAGTAAATGCTTTATGCACTGGCTGTCAACTCTGTGTATCCCTTCCATCCTCAGCCACCACCCCCCGGGGTAAAAGCTGGGAAAAGAAGTGAACTCCCACAAATACATTAAATCGGAGAAGAATGGCTGTGCCCCCATTGTACAACCAGATATTACTTCTCCTTCTGATTAGCCGCTGCCTAAACAACCCTCGGTAATTTTATTTGCATTTTCTGAAGTCTTGAATCTTGCCTAATAGCTAGCAAGGTTTGTATTTAATCACCATTTTCTGAACTCTGTGTCTTGTCGGCTTCATCTTTTGTCAGAGCAAACCCAGCCCAAACTTCTGGGAAACCTAAGTGCCGAATCTTCCAGGCAGGTTAGATAAAGAGTTGTGCTGAGAAGACCTGCGTAGTTTTCTTTGAGTGTCTTGGTGTCAGCGTCTGTGGATTCTTTGGGACCGG